TGCTTTGTTTTACTTACACCAGAGCTGCCTCCAGGTTCTCTTTCTGCAGCTGGTGTAGGCTGATTTCTCATCAAGGTCTCTTTCGGTGGTTCCTCCCCATCAGGGAGTTTATAGCTGGGGCCTAAGGGATCCATAGTTATCTGGTGGGAATGTGAAGCTCCAAGGCTAAGATGCAATTGTAAACACAACATTGAATAATGACTTTTGACTGACGTGAATTTAAACTTTCTAGAGAAGACAATATTTTAAAATTTTCAGAGTGTACAATTCTTTTTCATGTCATTTGTTCTTTAATGGCTGCTTATTTTTCTTATACTGAGTCAGGTTGAGCACTTGTGTTTAGGTGTAGATAAAATCTTGTTAATATAATCAGTAAAAAAATACAGCTTTCTGTAAAATGAAATCTGAATTGATCCCAAATTTTAGGACATACGGTCCCTTAAATAATGATGGTATTCTACGAGTACATTGCTTATTAATTTGAAATTTACACCAGGTATCTTTTTTTCCTAAAAATTATACATTTTAGAAATTAGCCCTGTACCAATTCAACATTAATTCCAATTGTACTTTATAACTTCAGAATATTTGAGGTAGTCATCTGTGAAATACAGACTATTTTATGTATGTGTAGTACTGGGGTTTGAACTCAGGGCTTTGTACTTGTGAGGCTATCAGTCTATTGCTTGAGCCATACCTCCAGCATGAAATAAGAAATTTTGAGTTTTGATTGGCTATAAATCTGATAGTGTCAAGCCTTTAATTAATAAGCAAGAGAAACCTTGGTTCAGTGAATCTGTGCATTTTTGATTAGCTAGCAATTGAATGACAAGGACTTATTGCTAAAAGTCTGGTGCACTAAAATTGAGCATTCTCTGTTGCATAACTAGTGTCTTAATAAGGGATGTGTTCAACTGCTAGTAGAAGAAAAACCAACTAACTTCCTTAAACTGAAATACAGGGATTTATTTTTCCTTTACAACAATAGTTTGGGAATTGAGATGAGCACTTTTGTGGTTTTCTTAGTCTTTCTTATACAGTGATTGTTTCATAACCCACCATGTCTACCATATCTCTAGGCATTACATTAATGTGCAAAACAGGAAAAAACAAAATAAAAACAACCATACCAATCAAACAGAGTGACAAGAAGGGCAGAGTGGCAACTACAAATATACCTTTGCTCAGGAAAACAAAATTTTTCCTCAAATCTCCCAGCAAACATCTAAATGTCATTGTCTAGACCATTTATAAAATGTTATGTTTTTTAAAATGATTGTATTGACTGGATTTTATCTATACTTAAACACAGATCCTTAGACATATGAAAGATGCTCAACCTGATTCATAACAAGAAAAAATAAGTTAAAAGAACAAGGGCAAGTCCAGAAACATGGAACAGCAGATATCTGTGTCTTGCACCACATCTCTTCAGTACTTGATTTCACTTCATTTGTGGTACGTGTTTACCTGTCCCACTAGTGTTCCTCATCTTCCACATTTCTTCCTCTGTGGTAAAGGAATATCTTAATCTATAAAAAGTCCCTCATCACAGTCATCATAGGTGTTGGGGATGTTACCCACTTCAACCAGTGGGGGAGGGGAGTTGAATACATGTCTCAACTTCTTGTCCAACAGAGGGACAGTTTGAAGGATATTCTGCATAGTTTACTAGAGTACCCTGTGGGACTGAGTTGTACTTTTCCAGGGTATAAACCAGGAGAATAATTCATCTGCAATTGCATTTTCTCAATCTACAGCTTACTCTTTCTGCTTATTCCTTCTCTTGTCTGGGAAGACCATCTTCCGGAAGTTCAACAAACAGCACAGTTTGCTCACAGAATGGATGTCACTTCACACACCATCAAAAAGCTTAGGGGCCCCAAAGGCCACAATTTCTACAAAATAAATGGCTACAAATTTGGGTGTTCATAGTTAATCTCATACTCAATAATTCATTAGAATATCTCTTAGAATTATGATGTTATGGACTAATTATTTAGGCCCAACCCTCCTCCTCCATTCATGTGTGGAAATCCTACCTTGCAATGTGCTGATATTAGATGATGGGTTCTTTTAGATGATATTCGATAATAGAGGTTTAGATGAGGTTAAGGGGTTTGGAGACCTAATGAATGGGATTTGTGCCCAGGTAAATGCCACAAGAAAGCTTGCATTTTTCTCTCTGCTATCTTCTGGTGAAGGTAGGATGAGAAGTTTTTGGTTTATAACCCAGAAGTGAACACTTACCAGGTTCTGATCATGCTGACTCCCTGACTTAGATTTCCAACCTCTTGATCTGTCAGGCATAAATTTCTGTTGTTATATTAAGCCCAGTCTATAGTAATGTGGTATAGCCACCCAAACTGACTAAGAAAGAAATTTTATAAATATCTAAAAATATGAAACAGGTTTGGATCTGGATAATATGTAGACTTTTGACCTAAGTTCCTTTATTTTGAGTATAAGTGACAAGATAGAATTACTCTACACCTTGTTTATACAAGTAAACAATCACCACTTGCTAGCACACCATGGGGGCACAACCGAAAAATAATTTGTGCAAATAAGTAACTATACCCATAAACATATGAAATCATATCAGGAACACCAGACACAAGAGCTTGTCAATCACAACAGATGTAACTTCCTCACCCCAATAAAAAGCAGCACCCCAAAACTGAGACATGGCAGGCACATTGACCTGTTACCTGACTGATCCACCATGAGCTCTGTCCAGAAATTTGCCACAGTGAGGAACTTCTGCCTCTGTACCCAAGCTCCAGCTTGAGTAGTTTCTCCAGCCCACAACACACACCCCTCCTTAAACTGGCATTTGAAACTCCCTGCCACCAGACCTGATTTGACAACCCTACACTCTGAATAGCTCTATGCCTATGTTTATAAAACTTCTTATCTGGTTCCCCACAGAGACTTTTCCTTGTTTCTGTATCAGCTCTCTACCTGTGCCTTCAGTACCTCACCTCTCAAGTCTGCAGTTTCTTTAACTTTTTCATAGCCATTCTGTAATATGTGTGTGTGTGTGTGTGTGTGTGTGTGTGTGTGTAAGGAGTAATGTTTGATCTGAGAGTTAGTATTAATAATTAAGATTAGAATAGAGGACCATGTGTTTGCCAATGATTCTGGACATGAAATGAAATTGTAGTAACTGGTGAAATATAGCCAATGAAATTGACATAGCTTGTGAGTTTATTTTATTCAATAAATTCTGTCACTGTGGATAGACACAAGCATGTCTGTCAATGTTTTTGACATGGTTTGCTCATGACAGGCAATATCTATGAAACCATGAGTGGAATGATGGTACAAATATGGATGGTAAGATCTGATCAAGTGGGTCTTGAAGTAGGGATATCTCCACCTGAGAAATGGTAGGACAGGCATAGGATGACCATTCCCACTCTGAAAAGAAGAGACAGAAATAAGAAAGGGGTGATGGGCCTAAAGTAAATTCAAAACCTAAGAAAGTGAACTCTGTGAAATCCTAAGGCTCAAGAATAATCCTTTATGGCTCCATACTCTGCCCTCCAACCCCTCTGAAGTGTCCATTTATTGAACTGTCATGTGGCCAAGCCTCCAGGTAAATACCATTCTTCTATTAAGCAGGGAGTCCCATTGGTTTAGAGACCACCTTCCAGTAGCTGAGAGTGAATGTCAGGCTTTTATTTTGGTAAACTCGATTTTTCACTATACACCCCTAAATATATGACATTTACTCTAGATCACATTTCAGGAATGAAATCTAACACACATGACACCCTAACTATCTCCTAGTTCGGGATATAATATAACTATTTCCAACCATATTATCTTTCTCATTAAATCAGAGTTCTTTCAAGGAGGAATAATAGAATGAATGTTTGCTTATTCAAAAACAAAATTGAAAAGTACTTAATAAATTCCTGGGGGTTAATAGATACTGGTGATTCAATAATGAATATTTTGTCCTAACAGGTATAAATTTGAGTATATATATATATATGTATAGACATACATATATATACACATATATGCATATAATGAAGGATGAATCATATGAGGATCAGAGTGTCAACTGAAAAACAATTTATACTGAGTAGGAGCCTACTATTTTGTAGTGTGCTATGAAAATAGCCACAAATACTTTCCTTCATTGTTCTCATGCCATTATAACAAGAAAGGCAATATGTGTACTGAAGCTTTTCTGCTGATAGTGCCCATTGATTCATAGATCTCTGCCTCCATTTGAGTTCCCAGTGAGTTTCTGTAGTTTAAAGCCATTAGATTGTACAAAAGTGACTTGTAAGTAAGACTTTTGTAAGTGAATGGTTACTAGTAGGTTTTCAGATTCATGTATTTTTAGGTGATCTGTACTGTAGATAGAAATAGAAAATGCTAGTCAAGAAAATGATTAGAGGAAAATTAAGAGGATAGCTAATAACAGAATTAAGTGTTTTCAAGTATCAGGAAAAGTAACAAGCATGTGAATATTGGATAGGAAGGATAGCTTAAGTCAATATGCTTTTTAAATGAATGCAATTATTTTACATTGATATTTTGTAATAATTTTACCAAAATGTACAAAGGACTTCATTATAGACAATTTAGGGAACTTCTTTAGGAGATGAAAATATAATAAATCTTGATATTGTAATATATAAGTATGTTTTCCTGCTATGAAAAACTTGCATGTATTTGAAATAGTACTTTATAAGTTTTATACACATTTCTTAATATTTTTAATAATTTCCATAAGTCCTTCCCCATAAAGAACATGAAGTATGTTTTCAAGTGATAGTCTAGGGAAAGGAATCTCCAGAAAAATTTTAGGATATGTCACACATTTTAAGGTTTTAATTATCCTAAGCTCATGATTTAGGAGCTAAGTATGTTTTTAATTTCAGAGTTGTTAAATGAATTGTGATGGGGGTTTGGGGATGTGCTTACATCAGCATCAATTCGCATGACACATCTGTACTGGATACTATGACATGATGATTTTAACAATTTGGATGAAATCTAAAGAATTTTTTCCCAATGACCTTTACAGCATTTTTTACCTCCCTGTTTCTCAAGCTGTAAATCAGAGGATTTAACATGGGAATCACAATACCATAAAATACAGAGGCCACTTTCATAGTCTCCTGGGAATTGTCAGAATGAGACTGTAAGTACATGTAAGAGAGGGTTCCATAGAAAATGGTGACTGTTGTCAGGTGTGAAGCACATGTGGAGAAGGTTTTCTTTCTCTCAACAGTAGAAGACATCCTTAGAATGGCGGTCATAATATACATATAAGAGACAATAACTACTGACACAGTGAACATCAAGTTAAATCCCACAAAGATCAAAATTAGCATAATGTTTATATCAATGCTGGAACATGAAAGGGTGATAATGGGAAGGTCACAGAAAAAGTGATTGATTTTGAACTTACAGAAGGAGAGTGAAAATGTAAAACCTGTGTGTACAGAAGCATTTATTGATCCCACAAAATATGAGCCAGCTACCAACTGGATGAAAATTCTTCGAGACATGACTATGGGATATTGAAGAGGCTTACAGATGGCAACATAACGGTCCACTGCCATTGCTGCCAGTAGGTAACAATCACTGGTTGCAAATGTTGCATAGACCAATACTTGCATCATACATCCTCCGAATGATATTGATTTGTTTTGTACTATGAGATTTTTCAGCATCTTTGGAGTGATAGCAGATATGTAACAGATATCAACAAAAGCCAAATGTTGTAAGAAAAAGTACATGGGTGTTTGAAGTCTGGAGTCTGTGTTGGTGAGTAGGATCATTCCAGAATTACCAACCATGGACAACACGTAGATTACAAGAAATACAATGAGGAGGACATAGTGAAACTCTTGTTGGACACCAAATCCCAAAAGGTAGAATTCTGTGATGTCACTGCCATTTCCTCTTGTCATGGCTAACAAAAGTCTGGAGAAGATATAAAGAAGGTCCAAGACAAAAAAGGAATTTTTCACTCGAATTAAAAGTTTCATAGGTTTTACTATACTCTTTACTTGATGTCTGTAACAAAGACTCACAACTGGGTTTATTGCTTTCCAAATAAATTTTTCTGTATTCTTGATAAAAAGCCACAACATAAACAGTGTAATTTTTTCTGACTCATTTTAAAATACAGAATTCTTCACAGAAGAATAGATGTTTAATATGTTTTCCTGAGAAACACAGATCTCATACTTTTGCATTATTTTGAAAGGTATCTATATTGCATTTATTAACATGTAAATATTATTTTATATCGTCTCAGCAGCATATGTTTTTTTCTTTACGTTCATCACTTCAGTCATTAATCCTGCTTCAAGCTATTGAAGTTGGTAGAATTAGAGCAAGAAGAATTTTCTGAGATGCATTCTTCCACACATTTTTGGTACCTATAATTTTCATTAAGGAGTTTGCTTCACATATACACAATCTTCTCATGATATGTAAGAGAAAGTTTTCTTGCATTTCCATACCTTTCTCTTTCCTTTGAACTATTATTAAGCTTTAAAAAACCACGTGGCAACAGTTTGACAAATACATGGTATCTTACTTTAAATCATAAGTATCTTTGTTTTTCTCTATGTGGGTTCAGTTCTTCTCTCCCTGATTCAGCATACAGCCAAAATGCATTCACACATGATTTTTCACATAGTGTGAAATTTCAAACACTAATTCAATATCTTAATACTCAACACCCCTTTCCATATTGATGAACACTATTCATTGTGGAATTATATATCATAAGCCATTATTATAGCAAAAAATTGGCTGGTGTTCACCAACAATATGGATTTTCTTCTGAAGCAGATATCGATCATAGTTCCAATCAAATTGTTTGTGGTCATGATGTCATGTCTGCTTAAATACACATGAGTAAAAAGCCTGATCCAGTATCTTATGTCATTCAAATTTCTGCTCTATCTCCATTTTCTTGCAGTACTGGGGTTTGAACTCAGGCCTTGTTGCTCTGCAGGTGCTGTACCACTTAAGCCACATCTCCAGCTCTAAATTTCCTTTTTATTTATTTACTTTTTATTTTGAGTAAAAATTTATTTCAGTACTTTATAAAACAAAACATTTCTGGGGACAATAACCTTGTAAAACATCTAAGGATGTCATTTTGTGATTTTTTTTCTTTGAACTAATTCATAAAGAATACTGAAATTTGTAAGCAGAGCCTTTATCACTGGGAATGTGGTTGTCTTATTTTGGAGCCTCACAGAAGGGTTTAAGACTGAGCATTTAGTTTCTCAGGCACATATGAAGGTATGAGACTTCTAGATGTGCAACTTGAAAAGCGCTAACTTAAATCATCCAGGAAGATGGGAAATGTGAAAAACAGTTTACCAAATCATCTTTGCTCCCTGAAACATTTTTCCTTTTATTTTTCTCTGTTACCTGGATATCAATATTCATGGAATATTTGCAAGTCATGTGTTAGGGTGGCCGGATATTATATAGGATAAGTTAAATTTTGAATTTCATAAAAATAACATAATTTATAAAATATATCACCTAAAATTGCATGCAATTTACTTTAATAAAATAAAGAATTATTCTTTATCTGAAA